TATTAATAGTAGTAATAATAATAATACGAAAATAATAGTAACAATAATCATCATAGTAATAATAGTAGTAAGAATGCACCTAAGAATAACAATAATAATCATAATGAAAATAAGCATCAGCAGCATCATCATCGTCATCATCATCAGAATCAGCATCATCATCAGCAGCATCATCATAAGAATTTCCCTTCTCCATCCTTCTCCCTCCTTCTCCCTCCTTCTCCCTCCTCCTTCTCCCTCCTCCTCTCTCCTCCTCCTTCCTCCTCCTCCTCCTCCTCTTCCTCTTCCTCCTTATCCCTCATTATCACTCCTGATCCCTCCTCCTCCCTCCTCTCTCCTCCTCCTCCTCGTCCTCATTCTCCTCCCCGGGCCACGGACCATGCTTCCCGAGCCCAAGTAAAAGAATGGGTTGTTCTATATTTCACACGGAAATGTAAGTGGACATTCCGTGTGGCGACACACGATTGCGACAGGTGGATTTTCTTAGCTGCCTCATGGGAACCACGCTCACACGACCCGCGCCCAGCGAACCGGCGGCACGGAGGTCAACGAAAGCGATGGGCAGACGACATCATGCATTTCTTACGCGCCAAGGGCATGTGTGAAGACCGCGACGACCAGGAACACAACAACCAATGGTTACCAATTGCAGCAGATCAACAGTTATGGAGGGATCTAGAAGATGTGCAATACGCTTACGCTCATTACAACCTATAGGATCTGGAATGTTTCCCCGACTCCAGCGTTACGTGCTCTGCCCACTCTGGTCGGTTCTCCGACTCCTGTTCACACCTTTCCGACTCCGGTTCCCATCCATCTCTCCGATTCCGGCTCGGGCTCCGACTCCTGCCCCCAACACGTCTCCTGAGGGCTCCGGCACCCCCCCGCGCCGCCCTATGAGGGCCGGTCCCGCCGGACCGAACTCGCGCGCTCGCCTCGCCTCGCCTCGCCTCGCCTCGCCTCGCCTCGCCTGCTCCTGCTCCTCCTCCTCCTCCTCCTCCTCCTCCTCCTCCTCCTCCTCCTCCTCCTTCTCCTCGCCGCGGCCCCCCCCGCAGGACCTGCTGCGGTCGCCCCGGGGGCGCGCCCAGCGGCGAGCAGCACGGGGCGGGGGGGGGTGGCGGCGGTGTCCGGCGCGCCCCGCATTTGTGAGAGTCCGATGTCCAAGTAAGTGCGCAATCGCACATAGTCACACATGTCTTTCCCTCGGCGGCCGTGTGGCACCTCCTCCTCCTCCTCCTCCTCCTCCTCCTCCTCCCCTGCCTCCTCCTCTGCTTCCTCCTCCTCCTCCTCCTCTGCTTCCTCCTCCTCCTCCTGCTCTCCCTCGGCGTTGTGCGCGTCTGCTCCGCACGCTGGGCGAGGAAGTAGCTTTCAAGTGCAACATCCCTCGCCGCATCCCAGGTGTGTGGCGGCATTCGCATTGATCGCCAGCTGTTGAATCGTGCTGTCCGCTCCCATCTTCTCCTTCAAAAAACAGTCCCGATACAGCAGCAACCGGCCACGTCAGTGGTCAGTGCTGCTTGGACCCAGCGTTGTGGACGAAGACCAGCGTATTACGAGGAATCCTGGACTGGGCGTGCAGGAAGAAGCGCGTCAACCGCTGTGGAGGCGGCGTGCGGGTACCGAAGTAGCCAAGGCGCGTGCAGCCAACCACTAGCGATGGGTGCGCAGGCGGTGGGTTCACACACACACACACACGCACACACACACACACACACACACACACACACACACACACACACGCACACACACGAACACGAACACGCACACACGCACACACACACACACATACAAACACACACAAGCACACACACACACACACACAAACGCACGCACACGCACACACACACACACACATACAGACACAGACACAGACACAGACACACACACACACACACACACACACACACACCAAACACCCACACATACACACACACACACACGTGTATCGTTGACTGGCTCGGCATTGGCAAAACAATACAACGAAAACGAGTGCGATAATGTAAGTAACACGTGGAGAGAACGAAAACGAATGTCGCTGGCCAGTTCAGGATACGAGGAGCAGAAGCGAAAGGCCACGCGAACGTTGGTGTATATAAATATATAAAGCGCAAGCATGAGCGGTGCGCATTCCAGGCCTCAACATGCGGAGCAAAGCAGCCACCGAGACTGGAGGGACAAGCTTGCCACATTACAGCGTCCACGCGCGACTAAGACCAAACCAGCCCATGCGCGGAGCCCGTTTGGCACTGCAGTTACCGGGTGGCACTTGAGTGGCGGCTCTGGGAAGCGCTTACGACCCTCGTGTGCATCGACGGGCACACCATTGTGGTCCTCGACTGCCGACTCATTGTTCTCCGTCTGTGTACCTTTATCCCTCAGGGTTCATGTTGATCCGATCGATCGGATGCGATATCGATCTCGATCGGTTCGATCCGATTCGGCTTGGATTTGCCGACGATCCGATGCGGCCCGATGCTTGCGTAGCGTCGTCATGCATCCTAGTGTGAGCGATTCGATTCGATTCCGTTTCTGTGCCGATGCAGCCCAATTCGATGCATGTTCCGATCCGATCCGAATTCGCGATACGATCTTGTCTGATCCTGGCCCTCTCCCGCCCGGCATGACTCTGCCCGTTGGCCCGCTTCAGGCCCTACGTAATCCCCGCCAAACGGCGGGTAGGGCCGAGCCAGCACAATCGTTTAATGGTGAAGGCGGTCGAGATGGACCACGGTTGTTCAGTGTTCCCGGACTCCTTGTCCAGTTCTCTTTCTTGTACCGTACCGTGTGCCCTAGCAGCGTGCGCCTCTGCGCGAGAGAGAGGTGGCGCGTGCGTTGGGTGCCCAGAGGTCGTTGCGGCTCCAGCTGGGCAACCTGACGCTGCAGCGGGAGACAGGGAGGGCGGGCCGGCAGCCAGAGAAGGGAGGTGCGGGGCAGGCCATCCGAAACGCCGAAAGGCGATCGCAGTTTTTGTTGGGAGAAGTTCAGAAGCAACAGAATTCACATCAAGCAGGCCCAGGATGAAGATAAATCCTTCCGCAGCGCCTTAGCAGCCAAAGCGCTGTGAAATGGACGCAGCGCCCGATGCATCATCTGGACCGACCCGCCAGTTTCCAGAGATCCCGAGCTAGCATTGCCCGATTCAATATTTAAGTTATCTTGGCTTTGTCTTCCAAGACGCCGCGAGGCAAGGTAAGAGCGTTGAGAGGTATTCAGGGCCAGCACTCATGCTCCACTGCTTGGGCTGCTTCAGGTTCCAAGAGGGGGCTCCAAAGGGGGGAGGGGGGGGGGGCGGCGGGGGCAGAACAGGCGAGGGCGGCGGCGCAGGAGGTGCGGTCACGAGACGTTTGGCTGAGGACCTTTTTGGTTTTCGGAGCGGGGTCGAAGTTCTTCAGGTCCGTCCCTGGTTTGCGTTAGTCGAGGTGACATTTGCAGATCCAGGTGCGGCCAGAAGGGAGGCGTCGCTCCCCGCGTCAAGACTCGGGCCGGATGAAAGGGGGCGATTGGGAAAGGGGGGGTTACGAAACTTGCTGCATGCAGCTGGCTTCGGCCACACCGAGGGGCCCATTCCTCCATACATAGCCGCCTCCTCAAACCCCACCTTTGCTATCCCCCCCTTTCGCCCGGCCCGAAAGACTCAGCATGGCAAGATGTTGGTTGTATCCTTTTCCACTCCCCCCACCACCCACCCCCGCACTCTGCCCCTCCCCCACCCCTGCATGGGAGCGAGAGGGAAAGCAGGGAGAAGGGGGTCGGAGAAGATCAACTCGAGTGAGGGAGCTCTTTCTCTCTCTCTCTCTCTCTCTCGTTCTCTCGCTCGTTCTCTCTCTCTCTCTCTCTGTCTCGCCCGTTGTGTGTTCTCTCACTCTCTCTCTCTCTCTCTCTCTCTCTCTCTCTCTTATATATATATATACATACCGAGATGTCTTTCTACATATATAGGTACTGATTTGCGTATGTGTATGTAGATGCTGTTGTCTATATGTATACACATGTGCGTCTGTGTGTATCTCTCTCTCTCTCTTTCTCTCTCTATGTCTGTGTCTCGCTCTCTCTCTCTCTCTCTCTCTTTCTCTCTCTCTCTCTCTCTCTCTCGTTCGCGCTCCCTCTCTCTTTCGATCTCTCTCTCTCTCTCTCTATTTCTCTGATGCGTGTGGCCTCTTCTCTCTATCTCTCTCTCTCTCTCTCTCTTTCTATCTCTCTCTCTCTCTCTTTCTCCATCTCTCTCTCTCTCTCTCTCTTTCTCCATCTCGGCCGCGCAGCAGCGATGGGTCTTCCCACGCCTGCCCCTCCTCCGCCGCGCGGTCTCGAGCAGGTCGCGCCCCTCCTCAGATTGATCCTCCTGCTCTTTCTCGTGTTGCTCCTCCTTCTCCGTCTCCGATGGCTCCCTCACTCCCTTTCCGATCATCCCTCTGCTGCTGCCGTTGCTCTGCCGATCCCCCTCCTCATCCTCGTCCTCGACCTCTCCACCTCATCACGATCCACATCCTCCCCCATCATCCCTGTCATCCTCCTCCGTGGCATCCTCGTGAGCCTTCGCCACGCGTGCCGGCTCCTCATGCGCCTCTTCCTCCTCCTCCTCCTCCGCCTCATCCTCCTTATGTTTCCCGTCTGCTTCTTCCTCCTCTTCTTCCCCCGCCCCCTTCCACATCCGTCATCTAATCCTCCGTGTCTGCCTCATCATCTTCCGTCCCCGCTTCTTCTTCCGCATCATCATATTCCCCGTCGCCAGCGTCATCCTTACGAGCATCTTCCCCGACATCGTCATGATCATAGGCAGCATCGCTGTTACCGTTGTCGTCGCCATCATCATGATAATCACGATCCTCAGAATCATCGGTATCTTCATTACCATCGTCATCGGTGCTGTTACTAGTACCTCTACCATCGACGATTATATCATCGGCCTGACCACAAAACCCTTCAACCTTCTCACCATTACCCCCCCTCCTCCTCTTGCCCCTCCTCCTCCGTCCTCCCCCAGGTTCCGATCCGCCGCCGCGGGCTCAAGCAGGTCGTGCCAGCGCCCCCAGCCGAGCACGAGCCCTCGATCCAGAGGCGCGCCGCGCGGGTGGGGGCCGTCGTCGTCGTGGTCGTGGCATGGTATGGTCGTGGTCGTGATCGTCGCCCTACTCCTCCCCCTTCTCCATCCCTTTTCCTCCTTCTTCGCCTCCTCCTCCTCCTCCTCCTCTTCCTCCTCCTCCTCCTCCTCCCCCTCTAACTCCTCCCGTTCGCACCCCGAGACGTGTCGGCAGGGCGGGCTGGGCGTTTCGCTTGAGATCTCCCCACCACGTGTGACCCTGAATCTTAAAGAGTTGCACCAGGTTCACGGATGGAGGGCGGTTGGTTCTCAAAGCGTGGCCTTCGGCTTAGCGCCGCGCACATTGGTTTTAAAGGTATGCCAAAATGTCGCGGATGGAAGGCGGATCGTTTTCAAAATGTGGTTATCACGTTAGTGCCGCACTCATTGGTTCCGATCATCCGCAGGAGCTTCATGGATGGAGGGCGGCTCTTTTTCAACATGTGGCCTTCGCCTTAGTGCCGCGCGCATCCGCCTTTAGAGCTTGCAAGGGGTTCACGGATGAAGGGCG